CCCTTCAAAATTGCGGAAAAATCAGAATTTTCAGTAATTTTCACTTTGTGAAGTTAAATTACATCGAATCAAGCTGGGAAATGTCTCATTCGGAAGAGCGTGAAAACCTGCATCGATCCATATATTTCAAGTCTTTTTAATGTACCTAGTTTTTTATAAAAAAATTTTTTTGTCAAAAAACATTGTTGTTTTTTTTAAAAATTTTTGAGTATTTCCTTCTTTTTACAACCGTTTGAAAACCAACCAAAAATTTTATTACGGGTATTTATAGAGCATTTAATTCTGTACAAGATGAACAATGTTGGGTATTTGTAAAACAAGCGAACACCCCCAAACCGAGAGCTGATACTACCAGTAGATAGAGCTCGTCGAATTGACTCCACGAACACCCAAAATAGCTGAGCATTAGAAAAATTTTCTCATCCACACTGATTTTTTCAATCCACGAACACCCATATCTTTTGCCTATTAGTAGACCTACTCGAGTTAGGTACATAGCCAAAAGATTAGGCTTTTATAAGTTTGCATAAGAAAAATAACAGATGTATGGTCTCTCAATGAAGGGGGGACGTTTGGTGTTGTTATTGACTCCCATAGAAAATACGATCAGTTTTTCATGAAAATTTCAGCAATTATAGGGCTCATAGTCAGTAGTCACTCCTATAAATTTCAGCTTGATTCGTCAATCTTTTGCCCTACTTTGGTAGTCTACCAGATTAGCCCCTAAGTAACCTATATTAGTGAGCTTGTATACCTTCGAACTCCACTATACGATTCAGAACTGAAGCCATTTTTTCAGCATCAATGCTAATTATTAAGAGCTTCAAAAATATCCGAACAAGTGCTCTCAAAAAAACCCATCTTCGAGTCTCTTTCTATAGCATATTGTCGTTCATATGGCTAAAAGTATGTAAGAATTGGTATTTGATATCTATGATGCCAATCATGTCGGAGACAAATAAAATAATTTGCTAAGTGGATATTTCATGGGAAATTATATAGAATTATACTGTTTAATTTATTATAGTTTAAGTACAGTATAGTAGACTCGAACTTTGTTTTAAGGCGCTGTAGCTTAGTCTTTTCTTGAAATATTCACGTATATTTTGATAGAGTTTTACGATAACGGAGCAGTTTCTCATTGTTGATAATGTGTGTTTTTAGATGTATTCCTCGGTAGATCTATGCTTATAGTTAGTTGGACATTTTGGTTATCTAAATTCAAACATAATGAAATTCCGAGACGCCTCTATGACTTTGTTTATCGATTCTTGTGTTCGTCAAGGATATAAAGAATTTTTGATGCGCATAGTTATTGTTGTCCGTGATCTCAATAGAACAGTAATATCTACACGTATTGCTTATCTATTCAAAGATATTATACAAACAGTTTCTTACACTTTCTCTTCGCTCCTTCCCTGTATTATAAGTCATCGGAGCAGAGCTTTGAAATGTTACGTGTCATATTGTTAATCTAACTCATGAGTTGGTGCTAAAAGTATTGTATCAGTATATGCGGCCTTATTAAAGTAAAATCTACATTGACTAATATTTCAATACCATGCACACAACACTATCGTTTTGTAGCTACATACGGGGCCATTTTTGTAGCTCTTAATAATTAGTATTGATGCTGAAAAAATGCCTTCAGTTCTGAATCGTATAGTGGAGTTCGAAGGTACACAAGCTCACTAATATAGGTTACTTAGAGACTAATCAGGTGGACTACCAAAGTAGGGCAAAAGATTGACGAATCAAGCTGAAATTTATAGGAATGACTACTGACTATGAGCCCTATAATTGCTGAAATTTTCATGAAAAACTGATCATGTTTTTCTATGGGAGCCGATAACAACACCAAACGTCCCCCGTTCATTGAGAGACCATACATCTGTTATTTTTCTTATGCAAACTTATAAAAGCCTAATCTTTTGGCTATGTACCTAACTCGAGTAGGTCTACTAATAGGCAAAAGATATGGGTGTTCGTGGATTGAAAAAATCAGTGTGGATGAGAAAATTTTTCTAATGCTCAGCTATTTTGGGTGTTCGTGGAGTCAATTCGACGAGCTCTATCTACTGGTAGTATCAGCTCTCGGTTTGGGGGTGTTCGCTTGTTTTACAAATACCCGGCAGCCGAATGGAGATTGAAAACCACTTTAATATCTATCTCATACTTTAATGAAGGGTTAGGATTCCGAAAGGTAAATATAGGACTGGAAAATTCCTTTTAGGCTTATCGAAGCCAATTAAAGAATTGGTATTTACCGGTACAAATATAACCGATAATAAAATGAAAATGATTTGATTATTCTTTCAACGAAATTCTTTTTCGAAAATGAGTTGCACGAATACAAAAAGAGTGAACACGAAAAAGATATGATGAATATGGTTGAAAGTACAACAAACAGAATCTGTGTTCGAAACAAGGACATACTTTTGTCAGAAATCAAAGTTAAACATCGTCGCTGCTTCACAAATTTCTTTCTCAAAACAAAATAGATGATTAGGTTACTGAATTTGCCATTCTACTTTCTCTTGAAGTAATCATCTCCTTCAACCCTTCTCTCTTCGTTGTTGTGATGGGATGATTAACAGTGACTGAAAAGCTTTTGGACTATTTTTATATCACAACTAATTATAAGCTGCATTATTCAATGAGCACTTATTGCCTTCGCTTAATACAGTGAAATGAAGATAAACGGAAGATTTGAAAAATCTTTTTAATTATAAATGTAATCCGTTCAATACTTAAGAAGAAATCATAAATAAATCGCTACTCTATACAGACTATCAATCGATTATCTCATTTCACCCTACATTATTTCAAGACTCACCAAATTCAAATTTTAGAAATCAGTAGTTGCTTGTAAAAAATCAGGAGTTTATCAGGCGAATTGTTTTTCTAAATCAGGAGAAAAATCAGGAAATTTTGCTTCGAATTTTAAGAGTCATTCGATGGTTTTTCTTAGATAAGATCCAGTTTTTAGTTTCTATTCACATTTGTCTCTATTCAAAATCAAAATGAGACTGAAAAAGTTTTCTTATAAATCAATTAAAATTGAACATAGAACGATAATTCCATAAAGTTTATTTCAATTTTAATAGATATTTCAGAATTGATTTTAACTTCAACAACAGAACAAAAGCATGCATTTCCATATCGGTTATTATATATAAAGAGTACTCCATAAGTCTCAGCCCTATTTTTATTTTTGCTCTATTTCTATTGGATTTAAAAATCGATAAGGTTTGGATATATGTACTTGAAAAGTTACATCCACCTTATTATTCAACAGAAACTGCATCTATCATACATTAATTATAGGAAAATACTACGTTGATAAAAAATGCTGAAACAATTCATCAAAATAATTTTTTATTTTTTTCTATTAGTACTGGAAAAAAGGTTACAAGGATTTATGCTTTTGAAATTAATTGGGTTTAGTTAAACCAACAAATTTATCTGTTGATAGCTTACAGTACACTTTAGCTATACCAAAAGAGAGCCATATCTTCAAGGTTAAGTTCCTATTCTCAGGAACACTTCAGTGAACACTCTTCTCATTCTCGCTCTCAGTCCAGTTCCTCCCCTTTGATGGTACAACGCATGATGGAGTTTATAGAAAAATTACAAACATTTTTTAAAGTTTCCGAAGAAACAACTCTTAGATACTGCTATGCATTGCTGCGAACCACAAGAAGCCGCATGCTTCTAAATGGCTAACTAGGTTCCTCTGAAATCTGCAGAGTTCTAATCAAATGAACAGACTCTCAAATTTTTTCTCACATAAGTGGTGTACAACAAGAACGAAAGGACAAAAAGTGACCCGAAGTGAATGAATGAATTTGTGGGTGCTATGTTTCTCGGCCGTTATAGAAAAAAAGATAGTTTTGATATATTTATCAACATAATATTTTCCTATGATTAATGTAAATTAGATGCAATTTCTGTCGAATGATAGCTTGGATGTGACTTTTCAAATATTTATATTCAATGCCTGCTCATTCTTAATAAGTCACCCCTATTTTTCTTTTCAACATTAATGTATAGAATTACACTGATTTCACAGTTCAATAGAGGTCAGCAACACCTTCAAATTGATATGTCATATTACTATTTTTTACATTCAGACATCTCTTCAATCTTCTTTTTTGTGATGTAGTGACATTCGACATTGGAATTTTCCTTTCGTCCCATTTTGCGTCTATTAGACTGTCCTATGTTTTTCATCTTCGCCTTTTCTTTTCTATGATATATACCTTTCGTTCTGTGGGATAGACCATCATATCAGAATTCTTTGTATTCTCATAAAACCATATTTTGTTTTCTTGAAAATACGAAATACAAATAAAAAAAAAAGATTTTTCAATTTTTCGAAAAGAATTCGAGACTTAAAAGGTTAATTTCTTTTATCCCAGTATATACATTAACGTTTTTTATTTCTTTTCAGTCACTGTGTGAAAGTCTGAAACATTTCTTACCCAAAATAATAACAAAAGAATATATTTATTTGATGCAGAGAATACTACTTTGTAAATAATTTCTTTATTTCCTTTTTCTAAAGCAAACTTTTTAGAACACAAAAAAGAAGCTTCATACGTATTATAAGACTAATTTTTCTAAGACATAAATTAATACTAATGAATAAATGCTTAAAAGTTAACATAAGCATATTCACATCATTTAGAATAAGAATGAATATAATTCTATGTAAATTAATCTATTTTTATTCATATTTTATTTTAATAATAATTGACAATATTCAAAAAATTTGCGCATGAGGAAAATAGTCTTTGAAATGATCAGGAAACTTTGATTTCTGGAGAAAAATTACAGAATTCATTTTCGCACAATTACTTCGTGCTGTGATTCTTCGAAAATTGCGTGTCACTTTTTTCACTAGTCGATAATTCATACTAACACGAACATTATTTGGTAAACATGTTTTGTTATCAAATAAAAATTGTTCGTAATAATCTTTGTGAGCTTCAGAAATATTAAGTTTCAAAAGATAAGGATATTGAATGATTGATAAATTTTGATTTTGATTTTCTTAGTTGTTTATTATATTGTGGTTTTTGATTAATTAAAGTTAGTTTTTCCAAGAATGGAAATGATTGAGAAATTTGAAAAAAAAATTCATGTTCAAATGAACGTGCATCAAATAATGATATTTCACGAACGTATTCAAATATTCCACCTGGAACATTATTTGTTATATTATTGTAATATATCGATTGATATGGATATGAATGAATACGACATCGACTATATTCTTTTTTCTTTGAAATAATCAATAGAAGAAATGATTTGTTTATTTTTAAAATCTTTGAATGTTTCTTGAATATATTCATTAGATGGTAGATTAAATTTAGCATAAAAATGAGTTGATGAATGAATATTAAATGTAAATTTGTTTAACAATGGCATATAATTTATAATATTCAACTTCAAATTATTACCATCAATAAGTGTTTTCTTTGTCCAAACTATAAGAGCCAAAACAAGTTTCTCTAAATTCGACATTCGATGTAAAAGTAGTAAAATTAATCCATCATAAAAATCTGTATCGCAATCACAATGTAGTTTAAACGATTTTAGATTAGGCAGTTTTTTCTAAAAATGAGAACAAATCTAATTCATTTAAAGAGATTAAAGATTAAGCAAAATACTGTACCTTATTATTGATTATTGAACGCGAAGAAGTAATGAATTCAATATTAACATGAAATGTATGAAGTTGGTTGAAACATCCGTCAAGTAAATAAAGGCAATCGCTAAATTTAACCAAACTAACATATAATTCTAACAGAGTCGAAGAAATAACAGTTGGAGGTGATATGTCAAAAGATAAATATTGATACCAAATTGAAGATGGACCAATATTTAATATTTGTAAATGTATTAAATATATGAGTAAATAAAACTATATTTTCATTTCGTGTTGGGTTTTCTTCTCCACTTGCTTTAATATCAATAACAAGTGATGAAATTTGTTCTTTGTAGGTAGAAGTGAAAAGACGATCATCTAAAGCAGAAAAAAAATGAGAAAAATTATTGAAAATGTTTTATTAAAGCTTGTATTCTTCTTTAACTTTAAGTATTTATTTTTTTTTGTAATAGCACTGAAATTTACATTTGTGATGATCTTGTTCTTTTTAAAACTAGTCAACAAAGTACATTTTGTCATAGATGTTATCTTTTATCATATTCATCAATCCTCATCATCTATTTTATTATATATTTTCTTTCTCACAAATGTATGCTTAAAAGTTTAATTTGAAGAAATAATATCAAGCTTATTCTAATATTTTTTTTCTCGGAAGATTTCTATTCTATGCTATGTAAAATACTCTCTTTGATAATAGTTATAAATTAATTCAAATGAATTCATTTGACATATAGTTATAATGTATTTATCAGCGCGAAAGAATCGCAGGCAAATATCTTACCAGAAAATAGATGTACAGCATTTTCTAAGTAAATATTATACAAACCAATTCCAACTAAATTAGGATAGTTTGTAGAAAGAAGAATACGTTCCATCGATGACGATTCAATATCAAGCCATTTGACTTTTTGATGAATTTTAGATAAGATATGTGAACAAAAACGATCAAGTACTAAATCAGATAATGGACAAGCAAAATATATTGAAGAATACATTTGCAAAATCAAACAACTTGGTTCAAAATTTAGCAAAGTCAAACGATTGGTAAAAATAGAGTCATGCACTATTTTATTTAAACGTATATTAACATCTGATAAAAAATAAAGTAGTGTAATATTATGTAATTTCTTAAAAATCATCATAAGAATTTCATCAGGTAAATCATTCAATTGAACAGATGAATTTTCTGTGTTTATCTTCACTTGTCTATTCTTTTTCATCTATAAATGTCGATATTTATAGACATAATCATATGTTCTATTTGACCGATGTCGTCAATAACAACAATCATTTTTTTTTCTATACTCTTAGAAGCCAAATAGATTAGACGAAATAAAACTGAATTAAGGAACGTGATTGATGTTTTTTTTACGTAGCAACCCTAATCACATTCCTTAATTCAGTTTTTTTTATTTCGTCTAGTCTGTTTAGGGCCTTAATGAACAATGAATACATTTATAGCTAATAGAAGGATTTTGTTTTCGTTGTTTGTTCAACGTATATGATTTAAAAACAATGAAGAGACATATCAAAGAAAATGCATTATATTATGGAAAATCTTTGTTTTTTTTCTCATTATTAAAATTTTTCAATTGGAAAGCGATTTTAAAATCTTGGCAAACATTCAATCCATAAATCATATTTCACAGTATATATCGATCAGAAAACAACTATCTCAGTCTTTGCAAAAATGTCAAACGCTGTTGTCCCATATTGCCGACTTCTAAATCAAGAACATTTTTTTTGTTAGAAAAAGCAATGTCTAACCTACAAACTTTGTACTAGACATATTTTTCCAGAACGAATATGATGAGAAGGAAATGGTTAATACTGATTTTAGTAGCGTAAAAAGTGCTCTTTTCAATGGTGTGCCGGAAGGTAAATTTACTCTTGGTTTTTATATCCAAATATAGCTTTTTTCTAAAAAAGACGGTATGAGTTAGTTGTTCTTATTACCTAGGCTGACAAGAGTTTCAGAAAATGCGTTTAAACACCATAAAAATTGTTATTTTTGAGCGTTTAAACGCGTGTCCGGTAAAATGATGGTGAAAATCGCTAAAAAGAGTAAACTTTAAGCGCTTGTACGTACATATTTTACATTTCCATTGTTTGTACCCGTTTACACGAGTATTCGGGAACTTTTTTTGCTCAGAGATTAGTGAGAATGTCATGAAAAACGTTGGATGTTGGAAAACTGATTGTTTTCAGGTCTTCTTTTTTTGGGGTCGTATTTGGCTGACCGTTAGGAACTGCGATTGGCATCCAAGAACACACACTTTTTTTGTGCGTTTACACGTGATTTCAGAAATTTTTTGTCTGTTCGGGTATCTGACCGTTTTGCAACAGTAAAAAAAAAATTTTTTTTGAATTATTTTCTCTGTTAAATTTCCATAACCTGAAATATTTCGAATACATAACTCAAAAAGAATTTAGTTCATCAATAGTTTCTGTAAATGGTGACTGACATTCTTACAAACTGATATTTCTTGGAAAAGATTGTATTTTATAAAAATTTCATTTTTAAAACTTTTTTTAATTAAAAAGTCAGGAACAAATCTAACAAATTTTGCCAAAATTGATATTGATAGAGTTTTTGATGCGCTACATTAAGATTATGTAGCTTAAAATAATTCAAAAATACAGACTTTTCAAATTGGAAAAACGTTGGAAGAATTTTTTTTAGAGCTGTTTGGCTTTGAGTTGTTCTTTCTGGTCAGGTTCCTTTTGGAAGATACTAAATTTGTAATTCAAACATTACTTTTTTCTAATAAAAAAAAACCATTTTCTTCGTTTAGAAGTCAGCAATATCATATGACAAGGTTTAACATTTTTGCAAAGACTTTTGCATCGCATGTTATGGGAATTACAATGTCCGTAAAACGTATTCATTTAATACTATTTTCTTTTAACTAATATCTAAATCAATTTCTACATATCGGTAACACTGACAGTCAAAATGTAGCGTGATTTCAGTCATTGCATCAATCAGAATTTGATTAATGAACAATTTCCTCCTTTTGTTCTACTCTTCAAATTTTTGCATTACATCTTTTGTTTTTCAACTGAATAACTACGCAAAATGATGTTATTATATAATAATTGTATTCTCCAATACAGCATGTTTCATAGTACATTGAGTTGAGATGAAATATATTAAAGAATATTATTCGATCTATTGTAAACATTTTGGAAAATAATAACTCACCACGTAGATTTTATTAGATGTGAGCGATGTAAAAATAAAATGATGTATGTGTCATTCATCGATAATAAATTAATTTAAACACCAACAATTTTAGTTTGCGTGCAATATAGGTTACATTGTCATGTTTTTCTTTATAAAATACAAACAATAAGACAGAATTTTTTCATCAGGGTATACATCTTTTTCATTATTCATTAATATTAATAATAATAATAAAGGAACAAAACATTCTATATAGCTATTATTTAATATTTCAAAGCTCTATATATGATTATTTTTTTTTAGATAAAAAGAAAAATAAAAAAAGAAGAAATAAATAATAATCTTATACATGAACTATTCTTTTTATTTCCAATATTTTATTGATCGACTGGAGGATTGTTAGCATTCATTGCATCACCAGTTATATTGCTTTCATTCGAAAAACCTGATTTATAATTTCCTTTGATTTTGAATAATTGCATATAATGAGTTTTGCAATAGATTTTACCATCATTTGCTGTGAAATTACCCGGTCTATAAATAGAAGAAAAAAAAAACATATGACGATATTCATATGAAAAGAAAATCAAAGTATAATTTTCTCAAGTTTAAAAACTAACTTGAGAACAGATTTACAATGTTCACATCGAAAACATGGTTTATGATATGCTTTACTATTAACCATTATTTTTTCCGTTGCATATACAGTTTTTCCACAGACAGCACATTTTGGATCCATTTTAAAAACAAATATGTAGAAGAAAAACAAAAGTTCTACGCAATTGAATACAGATTATTTTCTGTTCGTTGGTCTTTTTTGTTTGTATTTATATATATATTTGTCTTTCCTTCGTTGAAAAGAATGGATTGTACACAACAAACAACCACGAAGTCTACAGTGGATTATCAATAGATGCGAAGAATTCCTTGAAGTGTTCTGTTACTAGCATTTCTGTCGTGGCCTTTTTTTTTCTCATCAACGAGATCTATTAGTATTAAAGATATTCTTTGCTTTCGTATATATGTTTCCGATGATAGATATATAGAGCCAATGACTGGTTATCAAAATTTTGGAATTAGTAATCGATAGATAGAGCAAAAAGCCGAGAATATGAAAATTAGCAAAATTATTTTTTAGCAGAAAGAAAATCATTACAAGGGAAAAATAAAGATATCTCGATATATATATATATCTGTTTTTAAATATTTAACATATCATCGATTTATTTTTCTGGAAATGTATATTTATAATTTTGTATTATACTAGAATTTAAATTTAGTTCGATGTAGATCATATTATTTTTAATTGTTCTTTGATCACTTAATCTATATTAAATAATAGAAAGAGTAATGTATGAAATGATACAAAAACTAAGTGTCTTTTTTTTTTATTCGACATTATGATGAATAGATGATAAGACATTGATACAAAGAATGATGATTATATTTATGTGTCAATCAGTAAATGTTAACCATTTTTTAATGGAAATGCTAAACAAATAATCAATAAGATGAGCATAACAAATGGTTTGTTTGATAATGATCAGTCATGCATAGATATCAATTTATTTTGAAGCCTCATGGAAAAACTCGACGTGAATAATAACATCATTATATTTATTATGAATAGATTTCAAGAAATATTACAAAAAATTATTAAGACACAAAGATCGAATTGCAAAGTCGAATAATAACAGCAGCTACATTACTCGTTAGTAATGAATAGATCTCATAAGAAGCGAATAAAAAAAAACATAATTTTACCAGAAAAATACCACTTGTCTCTTCAACAACGTGTCCCTTGACGAGAATCGATCTATATTTGGAAAGAAATTATTTTAAAAAAATGATGAAATAATTCAATGTTCTTGTTTTTTCTTTCTTTCTCCCTGTATCTCCTTATTAATAAATACTTTTTTTTAATTCTCAAAAGAGTTGTAAACGTCACTGAAAATTTCTCTTTGTTTTGACTATGACTAGATTATCTAGGCATAAAAGCATCTTTACGCATTTGTGAGGATTATATTCATATATACATATATATATATATATAAAATACTAAATCTAACCTTGCTATTGCTCTTGTTAATTTATAATCAAAGAAGAACTCTGTTGAAAACAGCATGTGAAGAAGGACTCCTTACTGATGATGGTTGTATTATATGAAGTTTTAATAATAACCGAGTCCATAAAATTTGAAAAGAATTTTCTTGATAAAAATTTGCATAAAGTAACACTAAAATAACAGTCACCATAAATATAAGACCACCAATATACCACGAATCAAATGGATTTTCTACATAATATTTTTGAATACTTTGAATTGTTGTTGTTGTTGTTATTATAAATGTTTCATTATTAAATATATCTGATGTATTCATTTGATAAATAAATGTTTTTTTTTTAATATTACGTAAAATAAGATAAAAGAACAAATCGATTTCGATATAGTGTAATTCTTAATAGTTGTCGAGAAAACGAATGCAAAGAGAAGAAAAAAATGACAACGAGTTGCTATCATGCTTATGTATTCTTTGTCTCTCTTTTTCTCTATTCTCGTTCTTTATTCGCATTGACTATAAATGTAGTACCGTAGAATAGGTCAGATAAGCGTATGAATTTTTCCGGAAATTCAACTATTTTCTATTGCAATATAAAAAGAAAAAATGTAGAATATTTTCTCTATGTTAATATTCATCATTCTTGTATATATTTATTCGATTGTCTACAAATAAATGAAAAATTTAACTATATATATATATATATGTTATACATCGTCAAAATCTGTAAATATGATCCATAAAAGAAAAACTTCATAATACTTTTTTTTTCTTTATCTATGTCTTATTTAATAATTCATTTTCTTTTCTCATGATGTTACCATTGTTATTACTATTATTTGATTGGCATCAGAACACAAATAGAAAATGAATGTATGTATAGAAAAAACAAAACATAACACCTGACCTCGAACGAGAGTAATTTGGAATGATTTGTAGGTCTTTTTTTATTATATGACAGCCACATTAATTATCAAAATGGTCTAACTTATTCCATCGATATCTGACATAACGCAGAGTTATGATGTATTGAACATAGAGTATCTATTATGTATGAGATTGTTTAGTTCAATCATTAACAAACTTTTAATTAAAATAATTGTGAATTATTGATTAAATATTTTCATACTTACAAATTATTAAAATATATTTGTAAGAAAATTATCAGATGCATTGTTTAGTACAAAAAAAATATGTTTCTTTATTATTAAAAACCCAATTAGATTTATTGCGGCATATAAACGAAAATTGTACAAAGCAATCTTTTTTTTTTCTACCAAATAACCTTGAAACATACAAGAATAATTAGTAACATCCTGTAAATACATGATAATAGTATCTTTAAAAAAAAAACATCTTCACTTCATTTCACAATAGAGTAGAATCGCATGATAATAATACTACTACATATTCGAAATCAAATTATTTTTTTCTTTCCATTGTCATGTATTTTATTTTATCACACATTATTTATACGAACATTTCTACAACGTTAAAAACAAAAAAAAAGACTGAAATACACAAAAAAGTAAGAAGAAAATTATATTTAAATATGACAAAGTTTCTTTTTTGTTTTTTGCTTATCATTATAATTAATTAACATAATACAAATCTTCTGTAGAATGTTCCTTTGTATTTTTGTTGACTATTAAAAAAAAACAAAAAGGAATCATATGATAGTTGAAGTAGAATATATGCACATATGTTAATATATATACATATGTATTTATTTTAAACCAATTCGAGAAAAACGAGTTGATCAACAAGAAAACAATCACTGGTTTTTTTAACAAATGCTGTAAGACCTTGAGTAATTTTTGTATCGTCTAATGTTGAATCTGTTCGTTGTGCACTACGTTGTTTAATTAAATAATTATGAACTTTTTCAAATGTTTCTACACCTAATGCTTCAGTTGCTTTACTAAAAAAAAATATAAATAAATTTTGCTAATTAAAAGATTTATTATTATTATTCTTATAATAAAAATTTTATTTACGCTCTTAATGAGGTAATTTTTCTACTTTTTGCAAGTGGGCCATATGCATCACAATTTGGATTATCTTTTAATGTTAAAGTATTTTCATCAATTGTTCTATTTGTTAATGGTTTTTGTTTTGTTGTACTTGTTATTGTTCTTGATGATGTTATATATTTTGATGGTCGAATTTGATTATTTGTATAACGTGGATCAATTGTACGACTCATTGAATTTATTGTTGAATTTTTTGATGCAGACATTATTCGTTGTCTATCATTTTGTGTTGCTTCTTGACCATTAAAACTACGACATACTTGATCATAAAATTCTTTTTCATCATGTTCACGTGTTGGACTAAAATCATCTTCTTTTTCAAAATCATTATATGCTTCATAATATTGATTTGTTAAAGTTGGATCAATTGGTAAACCATCTTCATCACCAAATTTTTCAGCTATTTGTCTATATGTTGCACGCATTGGTGTTATTGGTCGATCATCACGACTTTTATTACGAACAGATTTATTAAAATCATTTGGACGTTCAGTAGATGTATGAACAGTATAAGTTTGTTCATTTGAATATTGATTTGGACCTAAGAATATAATTATAATAAAAAAAAAAAAATTAGTTCGAAATTTTATATTTTTATTGTGTTAATAACTAATTTTATTGAATCAATTCAAATTAAATCGGAAGGGTTATGTAGTTTGATCGAGACATTTCTAGGTCAAATATTCTATACTGATTGAGATACAGAGGAACACTCAAAGATGATTTAATATTCTAATCATATCGAATTATTTGAAATGCTTCTCGAAAGCGAGCTTTTTTTTTTGATTACCCGATCCGGTTTGTACCAGACTAACCATTGTGCATATTTGCCAGGCAGGTTCATTTTTGTATTTTATTTAATCCTAGATCGGCACTGATTATAAGAATATTTATTTTTACAAAAAAAAAACAGATTTCTATACAATGGGACTGAAAAATCACTTCAGTAAATTTATTGTAATGATCATCAAATGTTTAATAATGAGGTCTAGCAATTTCTAGTGTTTGTAAAAATAAACGGAATGACACATTATTTCTATTTATTTCCTAATAGATACTTACAAACTACTCGGATAGGAAAAAATTTTTAATTTTAATCAGTTGTGATATGTATAAATCTTGCTTGAACAAAGAACTAAAGTTTGAACTGAACTTTAAACTTATTCGATTCATGTGAAAAATTTCTTTGATCTTTCATATAAACTTTGTATTCATTGTCGATATTTCAAATTTTTCTTTTAAATAAAAATTCGATATATTAACTTACTGTAAGTACGACTATTAAATGTTTGTACTAATTTAGAACGTGGTTGTTCTTTAATATCAGCAACAGTTGAAGATGGCCATGGTTGTTTCATCTATATTAATAAATAGTAATTGATTAAAACAAAACAAAACAAAAAAATAATCGATAAACTTACAGATCCAAAAATAGTACTTTCACGCATCATTTGTCGACTATGAGCAGCTTCTAATTTTTGTGATCGAATTGCTTGACTAAAACAATTATTGAAAAAACTATTAAGTTAACTTTTATTTATATATATACATATATTACTTAAATGCTTGAGCACGAGCATCAGCTTCATGTAATTTTCGTTCAATCATTGTTTGTCTAGCTGTTTTTTGTGTATTTTCTGCTTTTAAAGTTTCTTGTTCTTGTTCTTTTTCTGGTTCATTTATTAAATTACGTTTATAGAATGTATTACTTCCAAGTTGCACATCATTATCATCATCATAATCATCGACAGTAATAGTATCATTTGGACTAGATAATGACCAATTTTGTTTTTTCAATTCACCATAATTTATTGGACTTTGACTAAAAAGATATTTTATGAAAAATTTTCATTGAATAATGAATATTCTATACGAACAAATGAGTATGAATTTCTTTTAAACGACGATTAGCATTGACTGTATTTTCTAATGGAACATTCATTTGAATTCTCTAAAAACGAAAAAATATTAATAATCTTTGATTGTATTGCTTTTTCTTTTCTTGATCAATATATTACTTGACAATGTTGAAGAATAAGTGGACTTTGTAGTAATTCAGTAGCACTCGGCCGTTGTTTTGGATCTTTGGTAAACATTCTAATCAAATAGAAAAGAACATAATATGTTTGTTCGGTCTATATTTTTAATAATCAATTGAATTTTCTTCAAAAAAATAAATAGTTTGATCAAATTATTATGATATAGATTGATCTTAATGATGAACTGAAAATTTTCACATACTTGTACTTTTAGGTAATACTTCAAACTATACTCTAAATCTTTTATTTACAAGAGAACGTTCTCAAGTGATCTTCTCTATTTGTCTACATATTTCGCCAATATGTAGTAGATCATTAGAATAGTATAGCTGCCGAATGGTTTCTGCTTATGCTTAGATTTGGTCGAGATAATGACTTTTTAGTAGATTCCTTCTGCAGGAATTCAGTTTTTGGAAAAAAACATATTTGGGAATTTCGACTTGAAACATAATACACATGAAGGTCTCGATAAGACTATCTCATGTATAAAATTTCATCAGCTTTGCATATCACATCGTGAAGATACGAATTTCTCAATATATTTATGCTTTTCTTTAAGTGCTGTGTAAGGTAGAAATCATATTGAGAGATCCATACCTTAGTAATGCAATATATAAAACTAATGAAATTTTGTACATGAGATAGTCTCCTCGAAACCTTTATGTGTACGACGTTTCAAGTCAAAATTCTCAAATATATTTTTTTTTCGAAAACTGAACTTCTGCCGGAGGAATCTACTAAAAAGTTGCTATCTTGACCAAATCTAAACATGAGCAGAAAACCTTTGGCTGTTACGCTACTCGAGTGATTTCCTATATAGGGGGAAAATATGGAGGTAAACGAAGCGAATCACTTGGCAATGTTCTTTTGTTAGCAAATTATGTCTAACGAACTAAAAATTTGGTATATTAAAGAATTTTTCTGAAAGTTTATGAAAGAAAAATCCACCATAGTCCATTCGATTGACTATTAAATTATCGAGAACCAGACTAATAGAATTGGATCTGATTTCTGTTTAATTACATTCAAAAATTGTCTACAGATCAGAATTTTCTATATTGAATTAGTTTTAATCAAGTTTCATGAGATTAAAAATTATGTGATACTATATGTTAGTCAACATGAGACATTTATATATAATTTTCCAAAAATACTTTCATTATATTACTTACAAATCTTTTTTTTTCTTTATATATAAAAAAAAGAAGAATGATAATTTTTATACTTACTTTGCCAATAAATCATTAAGTTCTTTTGAGTATGTTTTTGGTAATTCAGGTGGTGTTCCTTCTACTACTTTATATATAACATTCATAAGACCTTTTCCATCAAAAGCATGTTGATAAGTACACATTTCATATAACAAACAGCCAACCGACCTAAATAAAACATTCGAAAAAAAAAAAAGAAAAAAAATCTATAAATTATTAAAAACTATTATTCATACCAAATATCCGATTTTGATTCATAACCATCATGTTTCATTACTTCTGGTGACATATAATATCTTTACAAATATGAAAAAAAGAAAAACCAATGAACTTGAAAAATAATTTAATTTTTAAAGACACAATAAACATACGGTGTTCCAGTGAATGTACTTGCAACGTCCATTGTTCCAACTAATATTCGACTTATACCAAAATCACCAATTTTAACTTTATTAGATTTAAGAAATATATTTCTTGCTTTTAAATCTCGATGTAAAATTCTTGATTTATGCATATAATGTACAGCAATTAATATTTGTATAAGCCATTCAACAACTTGATCTTCTTCTAATATACGATTTTGTTTTTTTAATTCTTTAAAACGTTGATCAAGATCACCACCTTCACAATATTCTGTTACAATGCATAAATAATCATTTTCAAGAAAACTTTCGTAGAACTAAAATTATATAGAAAAAAAAAAAACAAAAAAATTATAAATTCTTTAAAATTTTTGAACGTAATGATAATGTAAAAATCGAGTGAATTTCATTTATTTGATCGATGGTTTGAAGAGATGCTCTCAAAATATGTTGTGTTTTTATTGCAATTAAATCATTATTTAGCAGAAAATGCTTTTAAAAAAAGGCTAACAGTCTAATAAAATCAGATATATCAGTAACTATCAAGCTTTTTGTTCCTAATCTTTTAGCATCATTTGGTCTTGAACTATAAAAAAAAGTCTATTAATTTAGTTTTCTTTTTGAGAAAATTAAATTTTCTTCTGATTTGGTAACATAATTCGATGAAAAAGGTTAAAAAAACCTCTCTTGATTGCCATTTTTCATTAGTACGGCTTAATAGTTCAACAACATATAGAGAACACATTTGAAATTATCGTTCATAACTGCATTCAATCGCATGTGTTTTAAGGAAAATATTCTCCTGGTAAAAACTGATCCTTAGAGAATTATGAGCAAAATTTTAGAAAAAAAAACACAGCTATGAATAAGTGTATTTTTCAAAGAAAATGATTTTTTCCGGAATTAATACAATCCGATGTAGTTATGGACGATAATTTCAAATTTACTCTCTATATGTTGTTGAACTATTAAGTCGCACCAATGAAAAATGACAATCATGAGAGATATTTAAGCCTTTTTTTCGTCGAATTATGTTATTAAATGAGAAGCAAATTCAATTTCCTCAATAAAAAAAGAAAATTTAATAAATACAAAATGAATAGACTCTTTTATAGTTTGAGATTCAGTGATTCTAAGGATATTAAGACATTTGATCTTATGGCTTTAGACAAGAAAACACCTTCATAGATTTACAAGCATAGATATATAAATACATACTCAGAGACATGTTTCAACTATCTATATTGGGTTTAATTTTTTGAAATTAAGTCAATTTTAAATCCATTGAAATAAAATTTTTCTTCATAATTTTTCATATTAAAATATTTTGTGAGGGTTTAGAGAAAAAAAACATATGAGACAAAATAGAAAAGTTTCATAGGAACAAATGTAATATTTGCTCATATATCTAAATTTATTAATCTCTTGAAATTTTTAAAAGCGTTTTTTAAGCCAAAGAATGATCTAATTGAAATAAAAACAATATATTTGTAACTCTTTCTTCAAATCATAAATAAGTAAATAAATGATATTCATTTGTTATTTTTGCATTGCTGACATCTTACTTTAACAATATATTCATTCTGTAATTTTGATAATAGTTCAGCTTCACGAACTGAATCAACTGTTTGATCAGCATCCATTTCACCTAATCGAACAACTTTAAGTACTTTTCTATAAATAGAAATTTTATTTATTTTGTAGAAATAATTCAAAATTTTTTCTTACGGTTCATTTCGTCCTCCAAGATCTGTAACCAAATAAGCTGTACCAAAATTTCCTGCTCCTAATTTTTTGATAATTTTATAACGTTTTTTAAATATTTGTGGTTCTTCATTTTCAGTCATATTTATAATAAATCTAAAATGAAATGAAAAAAAAATTATTTTTTTTTATTATCGACAAATTAATAAAGAAATAAATTATCAGGATGTTTCTGTTCGTTCATTTAGTTCATTTAAACATTCATGAAGTACAAGTTCATTTATTAATGTACATGCATGTGAATTTGTACTTAATGCTTGAAGGCCAGATAAAATAATATTATCTGTTCGTGTTGGATCTTCCGATTGTTCTTTATGTTGTTCATGTAAATAATTATAAATACGAGAAAAATTTTCTGAACCAATTAATTCTTGTGCTTTACTAAAAAAAAGATAAAAATTAAATTAGAAAAAAATTATTTTGGTTTTTTTTCATGAATTAACCTTCGATAATAATCAGTTTTGATTTGTTTTGCTGTCGAACTAAAAGGATCTATATTATTATCTAAAACCGGAATATTATCTAAAAGAAAAAAAACGGCATTATTAATGAAAATAGATCTATTGAAATTGAATAAACCTGCAGGATTATTTTCAAAACAATCAATAGAATCCGTTGATGATGCTGAATGAACTGATGATGATGGGACTTGTAATGAATTATGAATACGGTTATTTATTGTTGGACTATTACTGTATGAACGATGAAGATCTCGATGTGACGATTCTAAAGAAGAAATTATTTTCAGAATTGTTCGATAAACAATTATTTGTGTTGTTTTTTTGAAGGAAAAATAAAAAAACAAATCTTCTCATACGAAATTGATATTAATATAAGATTATCTTAAGTAAGATAGAAATGTACATAAGTTTTTTTTTTTATACGAGAAAATTCAATGAAATAAAATACCATCGAAAAAAAGTCTGGTGAAGAAATTCGGATATACAGAAGAAAAAAAAATATTCGTTCGGATTTGATGTTTTTCAAATGCGTGTTAGAAAAATGATAGGAAATTCAATTGAACTTTTATAGAGGCATGACTGGAAAAACGTTGCAGGGAAGCTTAACTTTCTGATCTTATCTATAGAGCGGGCGGAGATTCTCTGGCCACTCTGCTAGAGAAGGCTCAAGCCTGTTTAGCCCTCGTCTAGTTACACCAGTAGATTTCTAAAAAAGAACTTTGATTTACCAAGTTTAAAAAGTTTTGTGTTAAACAATGCAAGTGCATAAAGTGGTTATCAAATGCGAAAATTGATGATGTCTAACTAGAAGATATAGCCTAAGAGTTATGCAGGCTAGATGAAAGCTTACAATTATCTAGATGATATATAATGACTCAATCCGAATGTCTTGTCTTGTTGACAATATGCTAGATTTTAGTAAAATAATTTTTCTTAAATATTTTCATAAACTCTGATAATGAATTTTTCTTAAGTTTGAATGCTGAAATTCAATAGATTTAATTTACTCGATTCAGGATCAGGAGTCGATGATTGAGTAGCTAGTTTTTTTGTGTTATTTGCTTTTATTTCAATCTGAATTAACAAATAAAAAACAAAATATTTTCATTTCAAAAATATTCTTTTTTTTTTATTCTTTTTTAAAACATACTTTACTAAATTCATCTAATAATTCTGATGCTTTCAATCGTTTTTCTGGCTCTTTTGAAAGCATTCTATTTAAATAAAGATAAATTTTCAGAAACAAAGATAAAAAAGAAGTTTCTTCTCTTATTATTTACTGTAAATAAAGTTGTTGTATTTTTACTGGAAATCTTTCTGGTAATGCAGGTGGAGATTCTCGAAGTATCGCATCCATTGTTTGTATAATATTCGATCGTTCAAAAGCACGTTTACAAACACTTAATTCATAAAGAACACAACCTAATGACCTATTCAAAAAAAAATTAATTTAAGAAAAAAAAGGAAATTTTCTTCTTATCATCTTACTTACCAGATATCCGATGTCATACTATATCCATCATATCTTAATGATTCTGGACTCATATAATATGGTGTACCAATAAAAGTTGATGCTTTATCCAATGTGTTTATCATTAAACGTGATATTCCAAAATCTCCAAGTTTAATATAATTTCGTTTTAAAAAAATATTACTAGTTTTAATATCACGATGAAGAATTTTTTTTGAATGAAGAAAATTTATAGCTGATAATAATTGAATAAATAAATCAATAACTTGATCCATTTGTAAACGACTACGTTGTTTACGTAAAGATTTTAAAAGTTGATCAAGATCACCATCCTTATTTGTTATTTAGAAAAAAAAGAGTACTTTTTTTGTTTCAATTTTTTAAAATAAAAAAAAAACAAGAACTTTACTTCACAATATTCTGTTACAATACAAAAATAGGATTGATCTATGAAACTATCATAAAATCGAACTATATTTGGATGACGAAGACGTGCTAAAATTGATGCTTCATGTTCAGCATCTAAAGATTCATTTGGAGAAACATCACCGATAAATATTGCTTTTATAACTTTTCTAAAACATAATTCATAAGGTAATGTTTACTTATAAGATGTTTTGTTTTTGTAAGCATACTTTTCATGTTTAGATTTTGTATCATGAACTAAATAAGCCGTACCAAAACTGCCTTGACCAAGTTTTTTTATTTGTTGATATCGATTAGCATACATGAGAATTTGTGCAGTTTCTCTAGGTGTACACATGATTTTTCTTTCATCAAAAAAGAAAGTTGTCAAATGAGTCACATATAGTTGAAAAAAAAATCTTACCGGCATTAATATACATGAGATGGTGCAAAGACGGCATTTTGAATGATGTTGTCTGCAACGGACCCTTTCTTTCTGTTCGTATTAATTTAATATAGATGACTCTTGTTGTAGATGAAGAATAAAAAGATTTTTTTTGTAAATAAAACTAAAATTAAATAGAATCATAGACTATTTCCCAGAAGAGAGATATTTAAGAAATAATCTATATATTTAACAGGTAGAAGTCATCTTCACTAAAAAATATATCATGTATAATTAAAAACGATTGTGCCTTTAATTCTTTGACTAATTTTTTTTTGTCTTTGTAATATTACTATAGCTAACTTTTATTAGACCTGTAACCAAAAGAAACGATATTCTAATATTAATTCATATTACTGCATAGGAGTGCGCATTAATGGCATTTTTATATACGATATCAGACATTTTACAAAGACGATTCAATACAAATTTTTTTCCGATGGTAAAGACCCATATTTTCTACATCGTATGGTCGCTCAACGACGCTTGTTTACATTGATTGCGAATCTAAGATTTAAACTTAGAACAAAGTCGACTCTTAAGTCTCTACTAATATCTATAGAAAGTAGTTCTTGTAAGTAAGCAGATCTCAACAATTCTGATAAGAAGCTCAGCTTGACAGATCTTCATCAGCAGATCACACAATTAGAATCCATTAAATCAAATATAAAAATATAAAATCAAAGATTTATTCGTTCAGTTATGTTTTTCTTTCCGTTTATGTCACAAAAATTTCAATTTGTTAATTAATTAAAAACATAGATTTGATTACAATATCTAGTGACATCTATCATCTTAACTTTCTCTTTCTCATTTCGCAATCATTGCAAAATAGTGACGTAATCATAGGGGACTCAATCTATCTTAGAAGGTACTGAGTCCTTTCCCTTATCAATGATTAAATTCCGCTTAAAAAGTGGATTGAGGCACCTGTACAAGCCTTACTAAAGAGTCTCCGTTCCCTCTATTGACATGGTCAGAGCCTGAACTTCCCTTTCTTTACAACTTTTTTCTGATTACACTATTATTGCAAATGAAGTTTTCGAATATCCAATTGATTTGTTTATTGCATCAGATATTTTTTACACAACATAAGTTATTCATTCGACGGTACATTTTTATTCTCAAAGTTTATTGAGTCTTTATATCTTCTATTTGAAGTATTCTTTTATTTTACAGTAAAATCTCTCCCTTGTGAACATCATGGAGACCGTTAAAAAGCATTCACTATATGAAGATGTTTAGTTTAAAGAATTGACGCATGATTTGCTCTAAAATGAAGAAAAACTTCAGAAATATCTGCGTATAGATTAGTCTTCAATAGAGGCCTAGTAATTTATTTTCTTCTTCGTATATTTTCATCTAAATAATTTGAATGGAAAGATTTTTCAATTACAACACAAGATTTGGTTTTTCTCTCTTTTTGCTATTGCAGTAATATTAATATCAATTAGTTTTGATCCTAGTCTAATGAATGAATTCAATGTTTTACTTGAGAACTAGATTTTTCTCAGAGAAAAACGCCCAACGATGAACCAATACGATCTCTAATTGGACTTGAAAATACATTTTGTGACTATGATCGCTCCCATTTTCCAAAATTCTAGATCCACCACTACTGTCGGATCTAAGACCATTCATAATTAGGAGATGTTCACTAGCAGAGACTTTACTGTAGATGAATTTTTCCTGTTTGTTGTATTTTTTTTCATAATGATGTCTGTATAGTCTTTTGACAATAATAGGAAACTGGTAACACTAACTACACTTGTAATTAAATAAATTTCATTTAAATCAAATATATGTTGCCTTTCAAGATGACGTTATTATGTACTCAATCAATAAATAAAAATGTTATTATTAATAATATGGGAAATAGAACAGAAAATATTCGTCAAACAAGCACACGACATAGAAAAATTCTTTAACAGTTCATGATCACTTGTCCTTCCATATGCAACTATTAAAGATGGTAAGAGAATTTTTTCTTTAATAAACAATATCTTTCTTTTATTTGATTATTTAAAATCGATTGTAATCGTACTAAGCATATCACATACAAAAGTTTGATAAAAAACCTTTCGTATCGCGATAAAATATGAGAGAAAAATCAATTTTCTCTTATATGATTCAATCAAGGATATCGCATGGGGATGATGTGTACACCTCTTTGAGAAAAGATCATCGAACGAAATGCGAAATTTTGCACATCATCAGTTTAAAAAAAATTGCAACGGATGAGGCAGAAATAATGAAGCAGTTTTGTTGTCTATCTTTGAGGTACTTAACAATTATTTTAAAATCTGGTTATGAGCTCATTCGATAGAGAATTTATTTTTCTGCAAAATTGTCTAATATGTTTTTGAAATTAGTTTTTCTTGTCAGTGCAAAATTTAAAAGATTAACACCTACTCAATCATCTATCTGAGAACTCTTATTATTTGCAGATATCAATCAATTTTCTTCAAGCCTGTGCTCATCAAAATCGATGTTCAAAGTAAAATATTTGACATCAATAGACAGAAAATTTTGTGCACTGTATTTTCACGACCTTTTCCAAATTTCTGGTGCTCTTGTTCATGAGAAGAAGACGACTACGAACTAACGTCTGGTGTAATTTTTAGATACATTTCAGAAGATCATGTTGTTCAAAGGCATACTTGTCATATGAAACACTGATTCTTATACCATCGTATGCAGAATTTAATTCGGAACAAATGGTATAAATTGCGACTTGAGCAGCTAAACTGTTTTGACTGTTTCGAATTATAAGAGAACAATGTCATAGGCTTGTCCAAACAGAGCTTTTTTTGATGTTTTCACATTTTTCACTTCGAAGCTTTTGTTCTCAAATATTTATTCTAAAATTTTGAAAATTATATCAAAACATGCAGAATTTTATGTCGAATTTCATAGTACACTTAAAATTCCAGTAGAATCATTGAAACATTTCCATACATTTTTTTTGATTTTTTGGAATTTGCAGATAGATGATTGAGTAGGTATTGACCTTTCAAATTTTGCACCGACAAGAAGAACTAATTTCAAAAACACATTGGACGATTTTGTAGAGAAATAAATTCTCTATCGAATGAGCTCATAAACAGACCTTAAAACGATTGTTAAGTAACTCAAAGCTAGACAATAAAACAGCTCCATTATTGCTGCTTCACTCGTTACTTCTCAGTGTCTTTTTGAACAAACAAATTAAATTGATTGATATTAGACATAGTTCATTTAATACAATTATATTTTGAAATTCAGTTGTAGTTGAAACGAATTGATTTATGTCTAGAATAGATATTATTCTATTTGCTTGTTTTTCCAACCGATTACTAGCGTCAGATCTTGTCAATGAATAAAACACACTTTGTATTTCATCAGCGAATTATTATTCTTTATCAAAGTTTTAGGATAGAACGAAGTTTTCGTACTAGAGAACCTGTTGATATCTTCTTCTAGGACAAGTTTTCTTTGTAGCATTTCCCCGTCAGATTAGTATTTCTCGAAACTGTCATATTGATCGACGAGTGAATTCATTTTCTGCAGGAACGACTTTTTCTTGATTTTCTTTTTCATAATTCGTTCAAAGTTTCTATTACGATTTCATTTTTTCGTGTTTGAGAAAAAACTAACATTACTAGACACTAGCTTCTGTCAATGTCGCACTTGACTCTACGTGAGATGGCCTTAAATTAAAAATAAAATTATCATTGGAAATACATTTTAGTAAAATTAATCAATTATGATTTATACATCAAAATTGATCAACATTAAGTTAAAAAAATTATTTTCGTCATCAATTGAACAATTGAAAAGAGAAAATAAGGCTAGCACATCAACAATACCGATGAAAATAACGAAAACATTCAAGACGAACAGATAATAACAAAAGTTCAAAGTATAATGTTTTTTTTTTCATAATTGTTAACATCTTGAGTACTTTGCTTTTGCTTAAGGTTAATGTATTTACATGGACAGCTCAAGCCTTGAAACTTTGAAGGGTATAAAAAATTTTTGACCGAGATACCCATGCAAACCACTACAGAATAGACGCTCACCCTCGAGATCAAAAGTTTGCGAAGAAAATAAAGGTTCACCTTGTACAAAATGAAAACAAAACAATAAAAAATGTTAGAATGCATATATTTTTATTAATTAGCGAAAAAATTGAGCTGAACACAAGCCTTTTTTCGCACTTAAAGCTTGTGGAAGAGAAGCACCTTTTCCCTTCTTCGAGCTTCTATTTTGCGAGGAAAGGGGGTTAAAATCAAATTAAAATCGATTATAATCATACGCTTTAAACGATTTTCAATCAAAAATAACTGTCAAAGATCACAATTTCATTGATTATTAAGGTTAATTTTGATTACAATCGATTAAAACTTGATGAAAAATGTCAATTTTAATGAATTTTTCTTAGTGATCCATGACAAAATCTTTAGCTGGTATTCATTGGTTGGTATCAATTGTAATCAATTTTTTTTTTCATCAAGTTTTAACCGATTATAATCGAAATTAATCGTAATAATCAATGAAATCATTACTTTTTCAGATATATCTAATTAAATTGAATTAAAAAATGATTAAAAGCATATGAATATAATCAATTATTAATCAGTTTTTAATCGATTTTAATCTGATTTTAACCGTAGGTTTTATACATGGATAATGTCTGTTTAAAATAATGAAAGATTTTTAAGTGTTTTTTCTATAACTTTCTGTGTGTAGAATACATTTCGATTGTGAGTATCATATGAACAAACCATACTAAAAATGGTGAGAGACGTACATCGAGATGCACGACAGAAATAGTCAATAAGGAGAAGAGGAATGTAAAGAAAATTTGCGAACTGATCAAGATTAGGAGAGGCATTCACATTTTTTCGACTGAATTATTGTTATTTTTTTTC